TATTAAATGTATTATTATCGGTTACGATCAGACTTTTTTGATCATGGTGGGATCAATAACTTCAGTAACTATCTAGCAGTATATAAAGTAATTCAAATGAGCTCCACCTCCACCAGCTGCAACATTAAAGTCATGAACACATCAATGCGTCAATAATAATAATCCAGTAATCTGAAATGAGCAATTCAGCCTAATGAGTACTACTTCTTTTAGTACTTCATGTATATTTTTAATCTAATATTTCTAATAAAGAGTATTTCTACACTGTGATGTTGATACAGAATACTTCTTCCACCACTGCCACTAGTGTCCTGAGGGTGGCGCCAGAGGAAACTTCATATTGTACCCACAGTATATAACATCAGTTGTACTCTGTGTATCTGTGTGGATGTACTACATGTATATTTGTTATTCATTATAACTGTTCTGGCAGCTTTAGTTACTAGTTACCTTACACAATAACATTTTTACACACAATACATGAAGAGTACAGTGTGGTATTAGTACTTTCTCTGCAGTAACACTTTCACTGCAGGACTTTTACTTGTAACGGAGTATTGTACAGTGTGGTATTAGTACTTTCTCTGCAGTAACAGCAGGACTTTTACTTGTAACAGAGTATTGTACAGTGTGGTATTAGTACTTTCTCTGCAGTAACACTTTCACTGCAGGACTTTTACTTGTAACGGAGTATTGTACAGTGTGGTATTAGTACTTTCTCTGCAGTAACAGCAGGACTTTTACTTGTAACAGAGTATTGTACAGTGTGGTATTAGTACTTTCTCTGCAGTAACAGCAGGACTTTTACTGGTAACAGAGTATTGTACAGTGTGGTATTAGTACTTTCTCTGCAGTAAAGGATGTGAGTTCTCCCTCCACCTGTTTTTGTGGTTCACTCAGACCACAGCAGAGACTCTGGCTCGTTAGAAACCCCCTGCTGCTGCAGCTTCTCTTCGTGAAGTTGTTTCCAGTCACCACAGCAGCAGCAGTCCTAGAAAGACGAACACCTCCCTGATCAAACAGACCTCGCTGAGAGGATGACACACATTCCTCTGATCATACTACTGAAGTTGGTCACATACATCTGAACCACAGCCTCCTCTGGTCTCGCTCTGTGGAAACGCTTGTGAATTACAGTGACCCCCTTTTTTAAAATTGTTCTCACTCGTGGTGGGCGGCGGTGGGGTTTGGGAAATGACATAATCTCTCCTTTGTACACTGTTTCTGCTGAGATGTATGAATCACATTGTGGAGAGAAAAGCGCGTGGTGGGATGCTGAGAGGGAAATCTTTACCTGTAACCATGTTCAGCCATTTTTATACAGGACACAAACAAACACACATATACGTCACTTTTGAGGACATTACATAGATCGACTTTTATGTCCTGGAGATTTACTCTAACCAAAACCGATGGCCCAGAATCAGTTTTTTCCCAATCATAAAATATGTTCCCAATAAACTGGTCCTTAGTCTATAATGTGTAAGTATAATTTATTCATGCTTTTATCCAAAGCGACTTACAATTGCTATATACAGTATGACAGAGATCACACAACTCTGGAGCAACTAGAGGTTAATCGTCTTGCTCAGGGACACATTGGTGTCTCACAGTGGATTTGCACCATCACCATCACCGTCCCCGTAAATTAGGCTCCACAGTCAAGTTAGCAAGAATAAATATGCAACGACCTGTAGGACTTTTAAAATAAAACAAGTGGTTAACGTCACAATTTGGTTAGGTTTAGGCACCAAAACTACTTGCTAAGGTTTAGGAAAACATCCTGTAAGTATCACAGATAAATACCTACGCCTGTTGCTCCTGCTCATCGTCTTACTTTCTAACTTTCCTTTTTATATCTCACGTGTGTGATTTTTGGTTTATAAGTAATTTAAGCTACACTCTCTCTAATCATGCAAGTTGAGAGAGTTTTGGTAACCCACGGCACTGTTGCGCAGCAACTACATGGCCACTTTGTTTCCCCAAAATGCACCACAGAGCGCCACAGGAAGTCATTTCTGCCTGTGGCCATCGAGCTTTATAACACCTCCCTCTAAGTGTCTGACTTATTCAACTGGACATTATTATCTGTTTTTGTGCAATATTATCTGTCAATAATTAATGTGCAACACAATGCTGCAATTCTGCTGCTATTTACTCACCGTACTGTTCTGCATTGCATTTCTTTGATCATGTAAATATTGTACGTATCCATACCCCTTTATGTTTTTATTTATATTTTATATTTATACCCTTATATTTATATATTTCTTTATCTTTCTATTATTATTTATATTCCGTATGCCTTGATGTGCAGTGCGTGCAACTGTAACAATTTCCCCTCAGGGATCAGTAAAATATTTCTGATTCTGATAGAAACTGCTGAGTTTTTGTTTCACACAGGAAACGAACACCGATCATCTGGGTGAAAGTTCGGTTTCTGACTCACTCGACCACCTCCTTACTTGGAATTTTCTTTTACTTTCTTCAGGCTTCAGGTTTGTCATTCAGTTTGAGATCATTTGATTAAAAACATTTATCATTTTCTATAAACTAAAAGGAAAGATTTAGGTTGAACGGTGCCTCTGAAAAAGACAGGGCCTCAAGGTTTGTGCAGTAATGCAGCTCTGCGTCAGGTTCTTTCACAAATGTGCAATTAAATGAATTACTAAAAATAAAAGTTAGCCTTTTTTAGGTCCCTTTGTTTGCTTGTTTGTAGTTTGTGATCTTTACATTGTGTCGTCTGTCTCATGTTGTTTGTCTCCAGCTAAACAAACTCAAAGAAACATGGCTGCCTCAGTGAGGCGCCGCTCATGTTTCCTTAAATGACATGAAAGCATTTTGGGGACAAGTGGACAACAAAGAAAAAAAAAACGCGTGAGATGTTTCGGGGCTGAAAACTGGCAGGAAGTCTGATCAGATCCCCGATAAGCACCCGTTAATATAACCAGGTCAGATAGGAGCTGGCAGCGTGGGCTGAAGAAACACACAGACAACATGCCTGACAGTGATGAGGCTGCAGTCTGGATCGACCTGAGTCACAACCCGACTGTAAACCAGGTCAGACTCTGCAGCATGCTCGCATCCTGCATTACATGACTGCTGCTGCAGAGCCAACTCTGCAATTCTGAAGCAAAGGGGAAAACAGGGGAGGTGGAGGAGGGTGACCCTGCAAGATTCAGGGGCCCAGAGTGACCAGGGACACCAGGATATGACCAAAATGTTGTCATTCAGGGAAAGTTTCTCACGTTGCATCAGACATTAAAGCAACTGAAATGCTGAGTTAGACATTACTTGAGGTCATAATATGACTCACAGCAGTTATCACTTCAGATGATCTGTGGCCCACACTCTCAATCACGCTTATTTTAGTTTCTTAAACAAGTGAAATACAACTTCTGTGAAACTGATTTTTTTTTATCTTTAATCTACACAACACACGGCATTTGTATGAGAAAAAGATGCAAGAATAATTTAGCCTAAACCTGCATTTTATTTACAAAAATAATCTGTTAAAACATTTCTAGAGAAATAGCTTGCACCAAGAAATGTTAACTAACAAATGAAGATGTTCTGAGAATTTATTTGGACATTAAGAAAACATGCAATGCAAATTAAACCAGAGCAACATGATGCTTCATGTGGAGTCGCGTTTGTGTCACCTGATGAAGTCAAGTCAACTTTTTATATAAAACAAATTACTGAACAAAGCGTTAATAAAAACACACAAAGAAACAGGCCAATCAATTTATTACATACAAGCAGGCCCGCCGTCAGTCAAGTCCTAGGGGAGACCCATGCACAGGTCTATGGTTAACCCTTAAATGTATTATTATCATTAAAACATATTTCAAACTTGTCATCTGATAACCATATAACTGATAATACCCAGCTGATGCGATGTGATCTCGCGCTGTGAACTTTCGGTGAACAACTGAAAGAGTTTTGCAAAATAATATCTAAAATCTGAGTTGCAGGCCTCCTCTGTTTGGGACTGTGAGCTGCACTTTATCTGAGGTGCTGAAGATTTGTGATGAGATTTCTGCCTGATCAAAAGCGTTTTCAATAAGTTTCGTTGATCCACCTCCTCTCTTTCAGGAGGACAGTCCCAAACAGTTCTGCGTCTTCAGACCTTCACATGGTCTGAAGGGGCCAAATCAGCAGAGCAACATCGCAGGCTTATGCACAGCAGAGTATAGGGCAGGTAGACTTTTAAAAAACATTAATTCTCATTAAATGATGATGATATTCTCGTAATATTACGTCTTTTTTCTGGAGAACACAGATATGTGGGAGAGATTCTGAATGTGCAGAAAGTTTTGAACATGAGCAGAAAAGCTGCTGAAACACACAAGCTAAAGTGCAGGAGTTTCTGACTTCCTCTGACTGTGGGTTTGAATCTGGCCTACTGGCGGGACCCCCTCTCTCTGTCGGTCGGGGTTCCCCTGGGCAGGGTCACGTCCCATATCTCGGTCTTCACAGACGCTTAATGGCTGCAAGGGACAGGGCCGGGCTCGGGCCCGAGCGTCTCGTCAAGTTTGAAACTGAAAGAAATCTGTTGGTGTGGAGGTCAGAAGTGAGCTTTCAGACCTCTGCAGCTGCTGCAGGCTGCATTTACCACTACAAGCATAACACACCACTATTTCCCACAACCGTCGGCCATCTAGTAGCAGTGTTGGTAATGTAGGAGGCAGGTTTTACCAAGGAAGAATGTGTGAAATAAAAAGAGTGTGTCTCTTGCTGCATTTATTTTGATCAGTGGGTGACGCTTTTCAGTGTTTTCATGTTGAGTAATTGTAAAAATCGGTCTCTGAATTCATCACACAGTTTGCATGCACAATTTGTATGGTATGGTATTGTACGGAAGGTTGTGGCATTAAGGCTCCTCTTGATCCGAACAACCAAGAAAAAACAGACCAGAAGTGCATCAAAGTCCGTGGAGAACCGTATTGAGCATAGCTGTCTGAGAAGGTTTACTGGAAAAGTATCCAGACTGCAAAGTACATTCAAATAAGGTGAAGTTTTAAAGTGCAAGACTTAACGATGCCGCTGACAAGTTGACCTAGAAATTCTGCTGCAACGTTTTTTATGGGCAGAATAATTTTACCTCGACGTCAACTGTGAAAGTGGGTCGACCTCCAGCGTCGTCATGCAGTCTGGTCTGTGTGGTTTAGAGAGGCGGATCAAAGACACATGGTGACATCATCAGAGGAAGTCCAAGACAGCAGCGCTGACGCTCTGATCAGGATAAAAGTCAGAGCTTAACCCCGACGTCCAGCACAGCACCTGCACACAGGAAGAAGAAGAAGACCACCTAAAAACTGCACAAACACCCGCGGAGCTTCAGTCAAGTCAGCACGACAGCATCGAGTACCATCGGACCTCCAGGTTACAGCTTCTGACCTGAACCTCCAGCGGACACCGAGGACCCTGAGGAGTTGGACAGAGTGACACCCGCAAAAAGACAAAAACCCAGATCTAATTAAGGACAACGAGGACACTCAAAGAGTCCAAACCGTCGTCATGTTCCCAGAATCAAACTCCTCCAAAGTGACGGTAAGAGCGGCTTTGATCATCTTAATTAAATCTGTGCAAATAATTTTGAACTTCAGGAAGAGATTTTAAATCTGAGCATACACTGATCAGTCAATCAATAATTAGGAGGATGCATGGGAGCATGTGATTAGCTAAAAAGGTGAGGGCGCATCAAAACTCATAAAAAGGGACATTGTAATTTTATAAAAAGAAGAACGACGACATGTCTTAAAGTCTTATTTGTTTATTTCACAATTTTGACCACTTTTGGCCTCCGTAAAATTGCAGCAGATTAAATCCTTAAAACAGTTAATTATTTTATTTTTCTCTGTTCATTCAATTTATTTATTCAATATTTTATAAAGGATTTGGGGGGGGCAGAAAGTGAAGGTGACAAAATAACTGGGGAAAATGTGGTAAAAATTAAGCTTTTCATTATGTTATTATTTTATGTTAAAATAGTTTAGCTTTTTTTTGTTCTTTATAAACTAAGAATTATAAAAACATTCAAAATTTTTTACTTTTTTTATTTTCTATATTGTGAAAATGGTCACCAATGGTTTATTGCACATTTAACCTGTAACGTGTATTTTAACAATTTCATTCATTAAAAACAATATTTTCAATTTAACTGACCCCAAAGAAAGCAAAGGACATGCATTAGACTTATAGGTGAAATGAGCTGTCTGTGAATTCATGATTTATGTTGAATCACATGTGAAACATCTGAAAATCAAATGTGCCTGTGAATTTGTTGCATGTGATTCCCGTTACAGTTTTATTGCATTTAATATATTGCATCTCTGCGACATTGTGGTACTTTTCTGCTGAAGGTCGTCATCAGAGTGAAAGTGTGAAAATTTTGATGCAAGGCTAATTTCTCCTCCTCTTCCTCAGGCCGCCTGTGTGGCGATGATGATAATGATGATGGTGATGACCAATGAGGCAGCAGTGGTGCCGAAACACTCGGCGAAGACACAGAAGTCCTCTGACGGTGCGGCGGTAGAAACGGTCCCCCTGCAGCTTGACACCAACGCTTTGGCTCCTACCAGAAACATCAGGCCACTGGAGAACGCCTCCATCTCCCCGTGGGCGTACAAGTAAGGAAACGCAAACACAGGAAAGCACGCCATCTCTCGCAGCAAATTTCATGAGCTTAAATATCTTTTGTCCTTTCTCTCCCCGTCCTCAGCGTCTCCCACGACGACTCTATGTTCCCTCCCATATTGTCGGAGGCTCGTTGTTTGCTGCGCGGCTGTCTGGACTCGGAGGGCCTGGAGGACCTGAGCCTAGAGTCCAGACCCATCATGCACCAGGTGTTGTTGCTGCGTCGGGTCAGGTCAGCCGCGTCGGCAGGGTCGGGGGTGGGACATAGCTACCACTACCGGCTGGAGTCCCGCCTCATCGCTGTGGGCTGCACCTGTGTACGACCCGTCATCCAACACCAACAATGAAGACCAGCAGAGACCAGAACAGCTGCTTGGTCAGTCTGGCTTAAACAGACGCTTCTGTACGGAAGACCAGTGCCGCTGAGTCGAAACTATTACTTGTTGTTTTCTTATTATGCATTAATATATCAAATTAGGAAAATCACAGAGTTAAAACGCATCGAGTTAATTATTAGGACTGAGTGTGTCAGTTTTAATATATAATTATCATAACGTACTTATAATAACAGAAAAGAAGTTACTATGGTTTTCAACAGATTGTAGAAGTTTTGTAAAAAAATAAATTTAAAAAAAGCATAAATCAGAGTGGAAGATATAAATAAATAAGATTAAATAAATAATGCAGATTAATGCATTCTGCACCAGGAGTTTATTTTGGAGGAGAGAAAGAATTGACGTGAATGTGACTTAAGGAAGAGTATTTAATTTAACGCGTATGACAATAAATTGATGTGATGTGGGAGATAATTTGCATTTAACGGAAACTAATATTGTTTTTTTAATATATTGAACCTAAATGTAAAATATACTGATATCCAGAGAATAACAGGGCGGAGAGTAATAAAAGGACCAAGTACATATTTCTCATAATTATGTCTCACACTTATTTCTTAGTATCTAAAGGTGAATCGTGATTTTAAGAGTCTCATCATACAAAAATGTGACTTTGCATAAGTTAGTTAGTAATTAGACTTAACAATCATCCTACAACTTTTTTACATTTTTAAATCAGTTGATTTGATTTGAGGTGAAAGTTTTCATCTTCTCAGTGAGTTTCATTTTTTATTTGTGTCGCCTACATGCTGCTCTGTGATCCACCTGATGTTGAAGTAATTCTTTTTATTTAGTATTTGCTTATTATTTATTCCTAATATGTTTTTTCAATATTGTATTTTTTTTGTTTTACATTTAAAAAATGTTGTTTAGAAAAATAGCACACAGAGGCATGGAGAAACTAAACAACTTTACCCTGAAGCTGAAGTTTAAAAAGATCATTATCGGATGTGTTTCACGTTTTATTTATGGTTTTAGATTATTTTTATGTTTTGGTATTTATTGGTGATGTTATATTAATGTATTTATAGTTAAATGGCTGAATGTGGTGACTCAATAAAAAAACTGAACAATTAAAACATTGTTTTATGTTTTAATTTAAAATATAATGTGATTTCTGTACATTATCATCATCATCATCATCATCATTTCACCCTGACTCCTTTACATTGACATTGCCAGGGAAACAGATAGACACACACACACACACAACAGCAGCTGTAAACAATGTAAACAATCGATTATCAGTTATTCATCAGTGAAATTCGTGATTGATAGATAGTCTCATGTTGGACATGTAGGAATCCTGTGATATAGCTAATGTTAGCCACATGAGCTACCTAGCTGTTTGTTGTTGGTGTAACATACCAAGAGTGTCGAACATGTTACAAACATCCAGGAGGACTCTCAGTGTGCCAAGTCTTCTCGCGTGTCAGTTCACACACAGGAAGGTAATACAGAAATGTAGCTTCGTGTGGTTAGCATCATGCTAGCATGCTAGTTTTAGTACACTGATATTCAGAAGCATGAGATGAATCCATACATCGAATCTGAGCAACGCAAAAACAATCAGCAGGGATTTTTGTATTAGCCAATCTCAAGTGTGATTTTACACGGACTCGTCTCCGACTTGAATTTGTCTCTGTCTCGTGGCTGTTTCAACTCGGACTCATTTCGAACTTGTGGGTATTTTGACTCGGACTCGACTCTGTCTCGTTGATGCTTTGACTCTGACTCGACTCTGTCTTGTTGATGCTTTGACCCGGGACTTGACTCTGTCTCGTTGATGCTTTGACTCTGACTCGTCTCTGTCTTGTTGATGCTTTGACCCGGGACTTGACTCTGTCTCGTTGATGCTTTGACTCTGACTCGACTCTGTCTTGTTGATGCTTTGACCCGGGACTCGACTCTGTCTCGTTGATGCTTTGACTCTGACTCGACTCTGTCTTGTTGATGCTTTGACCCGGGACTTGACTCTGTCTCGTTGATGCTTTGACTCTGACTCGTCTCTGTCTTGTTGATGCTTTGACTCTGACTCGTCTCTGTCTTGTTGATGCTTTGACTCTGACTCAACTCTGTCTCGTTGATGCTTTGACCCGGGACTCAACTCTGTCTCGTTGATGCTTTGACTCTGACTCAACTCTGTCTCGTTGATGCTTTGACCCGGGACTCAACTCTGTCTCGTTGATGCTTTGACTCTGACTCAACTCTGTCTCGTTGATGCTTTGACCCGGGACTCGACTCTGTCTTGTGGATGCTTTGACTCTGACTCAACTCTGTCTCGTTGATGCTTTGACTCTGACTCGTCTCTGTCTTGTTGATGCTTTGACCCGGGACTCGACTCTGTCTTGTTGATGCTTTGACCCGGGACTCGACTCTGTCTTGTGGATGCTTTGACTCTGACTCGACTCTGTCTCGTTGATGCTTTGACTTGGACTCGTCTCTCTCTTCTAAATTTGTTTTAATTTGAACTCGCCTCTGTATCATCTAACTGGCTCTTGTCTCTCAGACTTGTCTCGATCTTGTGAGTGTATTTAACCGGACTTGTCCGACTCCTAACGGGTGCTCAGATTCTGACTTTGACTTATCTTGTGGTTTTAGTACTTAGTTCTCAACCGGACTTGCTCAGAGTCCCAGGGGTGTTTTGAGTTATTTTGGTTGGCCTGTATTTTGACTTGTCTCAGTCTCAAAACTAATCAATAAGACCTGTCCTGTCCTGTTGACTTTGTTGAGGGATTTCCTGATATTGTTCTTGACTTGATCTTGATCTGTGTTACGCTCAAAGCTGCTCAGACATGGACTTACGTGTTTTTTTGAGGAGGCACCTTTGCTGATTTTGCCAATAATCTAAACTGTCCAGCAGGTGGCGCTGTTTGACTCAGAGTGACTACCCCATATTCACACAGCAGAAGACGACCCAGTTCCAGTTTAGTAACAGTTCCTTTGGGTTCAGGCCTGGCTTTTGTTGTTTGGTTTGGTCTGGTGGGCAAAACCTTTCACACTTGTGAAGATGTACACAATCACGCACACACACGAACACATGGCACTGTTGGCATGGCAACAAAGCACAGTAAACCATCCAATGATGACTGAATCTGCAGCGTCCTTTAGTATCACAGGTCTTTCTCGCTATAAAGAGTTAGTCTCATGAAGAAGAGTCCTGGTTGCACAGAAGAGGTCGAGCGGTCGGACTCGCCCTCCGTCCTCCTCCTCTCACTCTTGTCTCTTCCTGTCAAGTCTCCCAGTCGGAGCAGCGCCGGGTTTGCCGGCACAACAAACCTCAGCTCATCAGCCCTCCAAAATGGCTTCCAAAGAAAGTTCAGCTTGTGTTGTGATCAGGCCATCAAGACACCTGGAAGCAGAGGAAAGGAGCTGGGGTTAGCACATAGCTAACACATGCTAACTCATACACACAGGACATGGCAGGACATTCAGGATAGATTAGGTTTGCTTCAGGGTTAAAGAGGGTTTTCTGATTAAGATTTGCTGTGGAAGCTCGTCACAGAAGACGTTGAGACTCCCCAAATTGGATCATGCTGAAGTAGTTACATACAGCAGACATATACTCCAGGAGGAGACCCATTTTATCTTATACTGCTTACAGGAATGCTTTTTCTAGAGTTACATGAGAAGACACAGTTCTCATGTCTCTAAATATGAATCTACCACCAAGACCAAGAAGAAGTCTGGAACATAATACAGTTTGCCGCTGTTACACTTTGGTTTTTGTATGGCTTAAACTAAAGAGATAGAATGTGATAATCTGGGATCTTTAGAGGTGCTGGCAGAGGGATTTTTGTTTAAGAAAGACGTGCAAAAATACTCCTACCAACAGAAACAGGAATGTAATAGCAGAAATTTGTGGTTACAGAGGAAGTTATATTTTGGAACTATCCAACGAAGGTTAAAGTCAAGGACAACTGGACTTGGTTGAAGATACTGGAAGACATGAGGGACGAAACGTCTTCCAGTATCTTCAACCAAGTCCAGTTGCCCTTGACTGAGAATCTTCATAGACATATTTTGGAACACCTAGCTTGTTCTCATTCCTAGAGCGTCAAATAGCAACGCTTTGTCACATCTTTTAGCATCTGGTACCAACGCACCGGGGGAAGCACTTTAGTGCCATTAGTTTAACGCTAAAAGTAGGCCTACTATAAACACTTTTAGCTGACGCTTTTATCCAAAGTGACTTACAATTGCTATACATGTTAGAGGTCGCACACCTCTGGAGCAACTAGGGGTTAAGTGTCTTGCTCAGGGACACAATGGTGGATGTCTCACAGTGGGAATTGAACCCAGATCTCCCACACCAATGGCAGGGATCTTATCTATGTTTTTACCCCTTTTACCTTTTCCTAAACCTAACTAAACTGCGACGTTTCTCAATGTTCATCAATAGTTTTATTTTGAAAGTCTAACAGGACGTTGCATGGTTATTCTTGCTAACTTGACTGCAGAGCCCTAAACGTACAAAAATGACGGTAAAGGGTAGCCAGGGCGTTAAAAAGCTTATTTGCATACTTTTTCAGTAGTTACGTGAGAAGACACAGTTCTTATGTCTGTAAATATGAATCTACCACCAAGACCAAGAAAAGGTCTGGAACATAACAGACCAATTTGTGGTTACAGAGTAAGTTATATTTTGGAACTATTTCCTGACAAACGACAGTGTATCCATCCGCTTAGTGCTTCCCAGTATACTGCAGGTTGCAAGATACTGTCGGGGGGGCTCAGGTTTTGATTGTGGTCTCTGCAGAGGGACGATGGTTCAAAACAACCTCACTGGTGTTCGACAAAAAATAGTTCCACCAGGTAATTTCCCCCTAAAACTACAGCTGTGTTTTTTGCAATTCTGTCTGATTTAACAAACAAAATGATAATCAGTGACGTTAGACGTGTGTATTTTTTAAGCTGGCTAGCTTTCTCTCAGCCATTATGCTAAGCTAGGCTAACCACGTCCTGACTTTAGCTCTGAACTGAATACAGAGACATGAGGATATCGATCTGAACACTCTCTGCAATAAAGTGTGTTTTTCCATTTAACATCATTTTGTTAAACCCTCAGTATATTTGTTATCACACCACCGTCTGCCCAGAATCCCCTCCTCCTCCTTCTCCTCCTCCTCTAGCTCGTCCTCACCTCCACACTGTGCTTGTCCTGAAAGACACAAACAACACAAACTCACTTTAGTCGTTCATCTCTACGACACAGAATCTGAATCGTCTCAGTAATTTTCAGTGAAACTGCGTCCTCACCTCCTCCTGCAGCCACTCCTGCGAGGCGTTCAGGTGCATCTGCCGCTGCTCCTTGTCGGCGTCGGCCCGGTGCTCCTGACGCTCTTTGGTCAGAGCTTTCTGAGCGACTTCACGCTCGTGCTCCCTCCTCTCGGCCAGGTGCTTCAGCAGCTCTGCCTCCTGACACTAGAGGGAGACAGAGGGAACGTTTATGGTGAGCCACGTTTCTGCTTTTCCAACAGAACCCCAGCAATTTTATGTCAGATTTTACAGAACAGACGCCGATTAACTTTCATCTCTACTGTGCCATTATGAGTCCACTGAGTGCAAACACCGGTATCTTCGTGGTTCAGTCTGTCCTCACCAGAGAAACGACCGTACAGGTCGATTATTATACAGTTTATTAGGAGCCGTGTTTAGGTTTTTAGCAACCTCTAGTGGCCGTACAACGGTAGCAACAGAGAAAATCAGATGACGTGTTATAAATAGCGTAAATAGTGTAAATAGTTAACTAGTTAACGTTAAATAGTTTTAAGCTTGATAGCGTTACTTCCGTCACGTGACTTACGTAACTTTACTTACTTTAACCCAAACGACGATCTTTTCCTAAACCTTACCAAGTAATTCTGTTGCCTAAACTTAACCAAACTACGACCGTTTTTCACGCATTAAATGTCACGGGACTTATGTAACATCTGGTAAGCCGGTCACAGGACTGTTACGCGTCATTTTGGGGAACGCTCATGTGTCATAAACGGACATATAGGTCGTTTTTGGGGCACTTGACAATGAACCTGTTTTGTTGTTTGGGTATGAGGACGTGTTGGTTGGTTTGATTTTCTGGTGGCATCATTTCTGAAATGACCTAGATGACAGAGTTTATGTCTCAATAAATAATCATCACTTTAAAATAACTTTTTTTTCTTTCCTCTGCTGGTCCAGACTAAAACATCTCGCATGTTTATGTGTCCAACACTTTTGGTTGGCATGCAAACACGCTAAACTAAGAGGGTAAAGCTGCTAAACATCAGCATGTTAGCATGCACTACTGCATCCTGCTAGCTCAGCTGCAGACTCTTGTTACATTAACAGTGGATCAAACGAATCTTCATTATCTAGTGTGACGTTACAATAACAATTAAAACTATTCTTGAAATCCACCCCCAACCCTCCACACACCTTCCTCCTCTCCTGGGCGGCATCCAGTTTCTTCTGGATCTCTTCCAGTGAAGGTTTCTGGCGGGGCGGCGTGGTCGCCCTCAGTTCGGGGCCGCCGTCGAAGGTGGGTGGCTTCAGGATCACCTCAAAGGCTTGTCCGCTTGTCCGCTTGCTTAGCTCGATCACCTCCATGTCGCGAATGTTGCACAGGTTCAAGTCCACCACGCCGGCTGAAAGACAAACACGAGACCCTTTAATTACCACAAAACTAATTTCTCTGTTTCTTCTGTCGAAACAAAGTCTGATTTTGATGGTTTGAATTATGACTGTATGTTTTTCCCCCCCACGTGCAGTCCAAAGACAAAGCGGGTTAGGTGAAATGAAGACAGTAGATACTGATAAACCATAGTACCCCCTCCTTGTCATTTCTCCAGTGCATGCTGGGATAGGCTGACACATTCAGAGGACCATGTAGATCTGTATGAGACTGAGAGCGGCCTCAAGGATAGAGAGTAATATTGGGGAGCTACTTGTTTCATCTCCCAGAATAACCCTGTACGCAGGATAAGCGGTTGACGATGGCTGGATGGATCATAGGAAAACACAGATATACAGTAAATGTTTCTATGCGTGATGAGCTAGCTGGCGGGTAGCTAACGTCGAAGGTCTTGTGGTGGTTTTCTTTCTACAATCTTACCACAAATGAGACATCCACTCTTTTATTTTACTATTGTAAAGCTGTAAAACTCTTCTTTCTCTGCCATTGTTTACAACGCAACGACAAACCGCTGATAGTGTCGTTAGCTCATCGTCGTAGCTGTGCTAACTGGCATGAAATGAAGAAGAGGGAATGTGTGACGTAACACCTTGCTAGACTCAGACCCCCGACACATCCTCACTCCCAACTGGTCAAGACGCCTTGGCGTTGCTTGTTAACGCCTTGGGGACCCTTTGGCGTTGACACTCAGGGCTCCGCGATCAAGTTATTAGGAATAAATATGCAACGTCCAGTTACACTTTCAAGTACTTGTTAACGATGTGAAACGTTTGGTTAGGTTTTGCACTAAAAGTTTTTGGTTAGGTTTAGGAAAAGTTCATGGTTTGAGTTAAAATAATTATGTTACTTACATCATTTAACTTACGCAAGTAACGTAAAAAGCTTTCATGTTGACTTTTTGTTTCACCGGTCTCCTGGTTCCTCCTCCTTATTCGGACGTTTCTGATAAACATCCTACACCTAACTTTAGCGTTGAACTCCGCAACGCGTTACGAACTGACACTAACGGGTCTTGACCATGCGTCCATTTGTGACGACTTGGGAGTGAGAACGGGTTACCCAGCGGGGTCATAGAAGGGTCAGATTTTAAATTACACTTGCATAATAAATTCATGTTTTTAAAATGTTATATTTAATGTTAAATTAGTTATCTATTTTAGTTATCTATTAGTTTCTATCTTCACATAAATTGTCATTGATTGTGACCTGCAGGCTCCTGATTGGCGCCCTGAGGGCGACCAGGCGCTCGTGGGCACCGCGTTGGCTGCCCCTGCTGTAGATGGATAACCATGAAATCTGGAGTGTTGGACTGACAGGCAGAACCATAATACACCAACAATTTAGCAAAAAATGGCAACCAAATGAGCCGAGTTTAATCTTATTAAAGGAATATTAAAAAGAGCAGAAACTTTGTGTTGACACATTTTCTGTTGTTAAAATTAAAATCAAATTTTGCCCAAACAGAGTGTTCACACGCGAAATGCTTCCCTGCTGTCCTGAGAGTAAACCTGATAATCAATAAGGATGTTTTGGTTTTGACTGATCTCCTGATTTGCTTCCCCGTCAGAACTTCATGTTATCTCTCTGAGTAAATCCTGCTAACCTGATCTCATGATGCCAGATGATTCAGATTCTTTTGTTTTTACATTTTAAAGCATCAAAAGCACACGTGGAACTCATGGAAGATGGATCTCTCCCAGCAATTACTGTTCTGTAAAGGGAAGCTCAAGATTAAAGAGTGTTGCTGACCTTCCTTCTTCTCGGCTGCGGCGTCTCTGAGTTCAGGAAGGATGCAGGAGCAGAAGAGAGACACCAGAGGGAGCTCTCGCATCTTCTCCCGGTATGCTGGAACATTTAGAGAGAGAGGGGGAAAAGAGAAACTGCAGTGAGCCAGATGTCAGATGTGTCAACAATGAACAACACGTCACGTAACCAAGAAACAATATGAACAGGAGGCAGAATAATCCCTGAAGTGTTACCTGCTAGAGTCATCCTGCTGCTGCTGCTGCTGCTGCTGCTGCTGTTTTCGGTCAAAGACACTGTGGTGAGGTAGAGTCTGTTCCTGAGGAGAGACAGAGGACAAACATGAAAGTGGATCCAGGAGAGTCAGATCTGCAGAGCTACTCCCTGATGTCAGGGGAAACACTGAGCTGAAACTGTGTCTTTAAGGGTACGTCTGCCCTGGGTAAAGCCTCTCAGGCAATGACACACTTAAGCATCTCGCTTGAGCAGCTCGGCCCTTTTGTGTTAAGTCAGCATGTGGAGTTATGATGTCATTGAATCTGTTGCTGAAACTAAACGTGAAAGAAAGACAGAGCAACAGCAACATGAGATCACAACCTTCTGAAGTTTCAGTTTGCTTTGGTTATTTGTTCCACGCATCATTTTGTCCTTTGGTCCATTTTTATCTGCAGCTCCCTTTTTATGGTGTAATTTTATTTTATTTTTGCGTCAGGAGTTTATGCACATCCCAGATCTCATTTGGATTTAAAGGTCAGCTTGTTTTAAGTACTATATATATATATATATATATATATATATATATATATATGTGTGTATATATAAGAGTTGAGTCATTGGTAGAAACATTAATACCTATGAGCTGTTTGTGATTCTGCAGCTGTGACTTCAGGAGATAAAAATACTTCATCCAAAGTGTGAAAGAGTGAATCAGCGACAGACACAGAGACACGACTCGCTTCAAACTCAGAGATTCAGTTCATGAGTCAGATCTGCTGCACAAACACTCAAAACACCAACTGAGTCTGCAGCAGCTTCTCCCTCACAGTCTCCCCACCGTGAGCCTTCACTGTGCAAACTCATGTACTGAATAATATATAGGAAATGTGGAGAAACATAAAACAGACTGTCTGTTAATGTGCACAAACACAAAGATCTGCAGCTCAAGATGATTCTCTATGATCTAAACATCAGTCAGGCATATTTTCCATTCACTGGTTAACCTCTGCAAAGTCTGAAATAAAATGTTTAGGTCTCAAACTAATTCCTTCAATTGTTTCAGTCACAAAGACACAAAAAGCAGAGAAACAAACTGGATTCTATCTGCAGGAAAAGACTGAAAATATGAATCTGTGTTGAAAAATTTGAATCGATTATTCCTTAAAGGCTGAAGCAAGTTAAAACTTCGTGTGTGTGTGTGCAGGGACTAAGCGATGATGTCATTGTTGCCAGTTAGCGCATCACCTGCTGCAGAGAAGAAAGCGAGGCGAGCACGCAGCTCAAACACTAAACCAATCACAGAGAAACAAAAAGGAAAAGATGCAGGAGAGGCGGAAAGACAAAAGATAAGAAACAAAGAACAGAATCTGCAGACGGACAAAAAGGACAAAGAAGAAAAACCAGACTGTTTGCATTTCTGTTTTAAAAAGAGGCTGCAGCCGTCTGAGCTGCAGACGTGCAGAGAGCTCAGAGATCACATCAAATAACTCAAATACACGAGCATATAAAAGTGTGATCGGTGTGTACTCACCCTGCAGTGATGCTCGGTCTCTGTGTTCAGACTGAAGATCTGCAGCTCAGCAGCATCAGCACCAGACAGCACCCTGCTGCATGACATCACCCACGGCTGATCTGATTGGCTGGCAGGGATGCTGAGCTGCGATTGGTCCAGCAGGGCAGAGGGGGGAGGAGGAGGAGGAGGAGGGGGTTCAGAGCGGTGGAGGTTTATTTCAGAGGAATCCTCCAGCTCTTCATCAGAATCACAGAGATTTTACTGGACGTTTTGAAACTCACAAGGAATTTGATTTTTCATTAGAGCTTGATATTCTCACACACGAGAGCTTCGTCACTTTCTGTCCAGCTGATCAGTAAAACTGGACTGATGAGGTCATGTTTGGCAAAGACACGTGAACAGAGGAAGCAGATTTACAATCTTTATTTTCATTTACAGTCTTTTAAAAAATGAAAGAGATGGATAAAGATGTTAAATGTAGTGAGGCGATGGGACAGACGGCATCTGGAGACTGAAACATTACAAACACTATAAACTTGTTGTCTCCACGTGGAGTCACAGTTTCAGCTGCTTCGATGGCTTTCTGTTGTTTGTCGTTTCCTTTTATGCAAAGTACTTTGTGTTGCACGTTATGCATGCATAAACGGTGTTCCACATGTTATCACACAGTTTATTCAATAAGTGACATCATGTGGAAGAAAACTGTCCTCTAAGGTCGGTTTTGATGAAGATCTGTTACATGACCCGATGTTTAACATCCTGGACTGCGGAGTCTGCAGCCGTAAATCTGTTAAATAGGCTGAATTTTGGGGGAAATGAGTTGCAGAATCTGTCGGTCTGACGGATCGGAACATATTTCACTGAACATGTTCTGATGTTTGTAACACCGTTTCTGACGTTTCAAACTACAACGATGCTTATTTTATGATTGTATATTTTGTATTGTGTGTCCTGCACCGCGCTCACCTTTGACCCCTGTGAGGAAATGTAAGTAAAGTTTATTTAATGCAGCTTTTATAAAAGAAAGCACTTTACAAGAGCAAAATATAGGAAATATGTTCAGTTATAGTTAAAGAAACCTTAAAACACACGAAAGTTTCACCTATCTGATGTTAAAATAAAACAAATACACTCAGGAAAACTTCTGGAACCTGAAGCTGACAGGAGAACTGGATCTGGTTGGATCCAGCAGGTCTGGTTGGAGCTGGTTTTTCGGGTCGATGTGCTACTGAGGAAATGTCAGTGCTAAATTTAAAGGCTGACAATGAGCTGTTACTCATCCTGCCTGTAAGCCTCACCACACACACACACACAGATCTGTGTTTGTGAGTTAACGCCTCCATCTGTCGCTCTGATCGGCAGTCGTCGCTTTTCATTCGGACGCTCTGAGTGCTGCACCCTCACTCTGATAATAGCAGCAGAGGTGGTGAATTTACTGGAGAGCCACATTTTTCTCACAGGCTTTCATTAATGTTTATTATTTATTAGTTTTATTGCATAAGTTTCTTCAGGGCTCCTCCGGACTGCTGGTAATCAGGCTGTTTGTTACCTGGTGCAGCATCATGCTGCTGCTCTCTTTTATCGTTTAGAACGTGAACTTCTGTGATCAGGTTTGCGGAGCTTTTCCTCTGCTTTCAGTTCAAGAGGTCAAAATGTTGGTCCTACAACGAGGCTTGGGTATCAAGTACGGTGCCGAGTTCCAAGAAACGGTACTAGATGATTAACCAGAATCCCAACGCCAAAGTCTTGGAAATGTGGTTCCAACTCGGAACCAGCACAAATTTCCAAGAACCGTGGGTTCATTAAGACCCGTGCGTTTGGATTCTGTTTCTCGGTTCCTAACTTCCTGCAGGTCTCAGCTCTTGACTGAACTTTATAGATATACATATAGAAACATTTTAGTGTTGTTTTGTTTTTTTGATTGTTGTCATTGTTTTTGTATGTATCTTCCCTTTGATGAAATATGGAAATATTGGTTTGGTGCGAGGGACTTCAACACGGCGTGAATCTGAAGGAACGCTTCACCGTGTTCAACGTGTCGCGCTCTCCCAGATCCAGCTAACGCTAACAGCAGCAACGCCTCAGGTACAAAACACAGGTGAGCTAACGTTCAACTTCTATACTGAAGGGAAACCAACGATGGCTACAAATCATTCAAAATACATATTTTTCTTAGAGACGAGTCCCCAGAGACTTTGTTTGCATGCGTCCTCTAAATGTGGGGTATCATCAGAGATGCCCACAAGAACACCTCTATGTGAAGAACGTGACTGACTACATTTCCCATCATGCACCACCGCAGAACACAGTGTTCTCCCCTCCTAACACTGAACCAGATGATGTAATGCAGCTGCAGAGTGTGTGTGTGTGTGTGTGTTCCTGTAAGTCTATCTTTGTGAGGACCAGGTTCAGTTTCACGTCTTCATGCTGAGCAGCTGTTTTGGGAGGATTTTAGGTTTCAAATGCAACTGCAGTGCTCCAGGTGTGTGTGTGTGTGTGTGCTTCTGTTTCTGTATTCCACTGTACACGTGAGCGCCGACCACCTTTGAGCGTTAGGACTTGGTTTTAGGGGTCAGGTAAGAATTAGGGTTAGGGGCCGAGGAATGCATTATGTCATTGAGATGTCCCCACAAAGATAGTACCACATGATGTGTGTGTGTGAGAGGCTGCAGCAACAATGAGAGAGAGAAACCCCCACATCCCAACGGATGATGTCACCCGCAGCCAATCAGCTGAGAGCTCTCAGAGCCACACTGTCAGGGTGTGTGTGGCTTTCAAGTCACATCAGGTTGAGGATTCTGCAGAAACAACAACAACACGTCTGCAGAACGATGTGAGATGTGATGAAAACGCAGGGGGCGGGGCTCCGGCTCTGCAGGCTGCAAACAGCAGCAGCAGACTAACTGGAAGAGCAGTGACATCATCTCTGAGCCCGAACGATGAGGTCACTCACAATGAGGTCACCGCACTGAAACAGAGTGATGTCATGGAAACGTGACCGAAAAGGCAAAAAGAAAGAAAGAAAGTCATGTTGTTGATGATCGAGGCGAGACTGATCCCTAAAGAAGGTGTGTGTGTGCTTGTGTTTGTATACTTGTGAGGTCCGACAGCTTTTTTGGGGACCGAAATGCTCCCGGACCCCACAAGTTTAAAGGGCCGTTTGAGCGTCAAGACTTGGTTTTAGGGTTCAGGTTATAACGAGGTGAAGGGTTAGAATATTTTATTTGTTATTTGATCAACACAGAGGGGGATTTTTCTCACCTCTCATTATTATTCAGGCAGAGGATCTACTTTAATGCCCTGAGTTCAGACTCCCAGGCGGCGCTGCCTTTCACTGCAACACACTGCGAACAACAAGCCATCGCAACCTGTTCTCACTCCCCAAGACGTCACATATGGACGCATGGTCAACACCCGTCAGTGTCAGCTTGTATCGCACTGGGAAGCCCCTTAGCGTCATAGTTCAACGCGCTGGGGGAAGCCCTGTAGCGGTAAAGGCAGGTTTATGATATTTAACAGAAAGGTCTGAATAAGGAGGTGGATGGAGGACCAGAAACCGGACTTTCAACCAGGAGAGCGGTGAAGTCAACGTTAAATGTTTTTATTTGAGTTACGTAGATTACGTAAATAACACAAGTAACGTTACTTTACTTAGTCCGGGGACCCCCAGGGGTCCTTGGGCAATCATTAATAATAAGTAACATAGTGACTGAACTCATGACTATTTCGGTCATGGATTTCATACACTTTCCGGAACAAAACATCTAAAAGCCAAAATCCTTTCAAATGGACGATCCTGGGGCAAAATCTTCTCAAATGGGGGTCCGTGGTCTAATTTGTGTCAGTTTAGGTGTCTTTGATGTGAAAAAGGTTGAGAACCAATGAACTGACGTACGTAACATAATTATTTTAACCCAAAGCATGATCTTTACAATCAACTTTAACAATGTGACGTTTCAAAATGGCGATGCTTCGCAACGTTAAAGTTTTATTTTGAAAGTTTAACCCGGCGTTGCTTATTTATTGTTGCTAGCTTGACCGCGAAGCCCTCAACATTGAAAAACGGCACTAAAGGGGTCTGACCAAGTGTCCTTATGTGACGAGTTGGGAGTGAGAACTTGCTGGTCATCGTGTTTGTGATGTTTGTCATCCATCACTTTTGATTCCTGCGGCTGCTGCTGCTTGTTCCTGAAAGCTAACGAGGACGCCGACACCCTGATCCCTGTCGACTAGATTGATTCTGTACCTCCCTCCTCTGGAGGTTATAAATATGTTGGGGTGTGAGGTCTGCAGTCGGTCAGCGGTGTGATGCTGCTGCTGGTGAGAAGATGGCGGCAGGATGTTGGAGCTTGAAGCAGAGCAGCTGATTGGACAAATAATAATATTTAACCCAATGAAACTTAACCAACATGTAAACAGAACCACACAGTACTTCTACACTGTGGTATTACAACTTTTACTTACTTATAACTTCTTATGTACTTCTTCCCCCGCTGGCTGCTGCTGAACAGAATCCGAGCAAGTAAGTTTCCTTCAGAACAATTAAGTTCTTCTTCTCCAGGGAGCCTTTAACTGAAAAGCAGCATCCAATCGTCACTTTTTGAGAGATTTACTGTAAAACTTCCAATCAGAGTCCCAATTAGACGCCTGTCCTGTTCACTGGCGTGGCGTGGGAACACATTTCAACTAATAAACGCCGGTCTCGATTAGAAGCCTGGGTTTAATAGAAGATCTCTGGATGTATAAAACATCTTCGCGCCGCCTTTTAACGAGAGCAAAAAAGCAAATAAAAGCTCACCTGTTATTTTAAGTTTTACGGTACTTCTCACATGGTTTCATTTAAATAACCCTTTTTCCAATATTACACAATATAAGCAGAGATAAGAGAAAAGTACAAATAAAGTCCTCTTTGCTCGCCTTTAATCATCATCAGCCTTTGGAGCTCCAGTACAGTTCTTTTCCTTTTTGCTGATAATCTAATTATGTACTTTTACTCAAGTTAGGATATTCATTACTCCACCAGTCATTAGAAATCACCTTTTATTGTCACCATTACATTGACATTTAGGAGGAAGATGAAAGTTTTTAAAGGAAGAGTTATTAAATTCTTATTCTCTACTACCCCTACTATTATCCCTGTAATTGGTCATGCCAGGGATTTAAACCTACTGCATGAAAAATTTTTCTGCCATTGCACCACTCAACCACACAAGTATACAGTTGTATAGAGTTGTAGTACAAGTACACTTGTTTTGATGTCAACACATTACACTGGCATTTACTGATTCAGCTCCCAGTCTGTGATTGGCAGATTCTCCTCCCTTACTACAGTGGGCTGTCACAGGAGTTAAAGTTGCAGCATTTTCCTCTTCTCAGGGTTAACAAACTCAGCAGCAGCTCCTGAGGAGCTGAGAGGCTGACAGACAGCATGACCTGTTTTTAATATCGTTAAGTCTCCATATAAGGTTACAGCTCAGGTTACATTCATCTGAAAATATAAAAACATTGATGATTAATAGTTAATGAATAATCACTTACAAATGGGCAAAAAGTTTCCTCTTCTATGTACATTTTGTGTTTTGGGAGTCACTTTTATCCCCCACAGACATTAAAAGAATGTTCATCATGTCCCCATAATCCCCAGGACTGCTGCAGTGACAGATGCAGTGAGTGGGAATCGATGCCAGGTCTCCCACACAAAAGACAAGAGCATTAACCACTGTACCACGGAACCCACCCTCAAACACATATTCATACTTTAACTCAGTATATACTCATTATATTATTATATACATACTTACAAATGACAGTATGTGTGTATGTGCGAGTAAGTTTGGCCTAGGCGGCTTCTCATATCGGTCTAACTCCTCTGATTAAATAAAAAGGTTCACATTTTGTTGATCGAGATGCTGTAGAACTGGAAGATTGTGTCTGCCGGTTGGAACCAGCTGGAACCAGTTCAGCAGCGTGTTAGTGTTCCCGCTCAGCTCCAGTATGAATGACTGACTCTCGGCCAGCAGTCGTGTTTTATTCGTGTCGGCGAGGCGTCGTGACTCTCGCCGTTTCTGTTTCTGGTTGTGTCTGCAGCCCCCTGAGGAGGAGGATGGAGGGGGGGAGAGAGAGAGAGAGGGATGGGAGGGGTGAGGGAGGGAGGGGCGAGCGAGCTGCATGCAGAGGAGGAGAGAGAGAGAGAACAGACAACAGAGTGGGCTGAATGTCAGCGGAGGTGAGTCACTACTGCTGCTGCTGCTGCTGCTGCAGGCGAAGGCTTCCAGAGAGGCAGGTAGAAAATGAAATGTCCTAAACTAAGAAAAATTTGACAATCAGACACAAAGAAACTCCCCTATTTACTGGGAAAAATCCCAGAATGCAAATCATTGCAGCAAAATATGTCTCCTCATCAACCAGTGGAAAATCAGACTCGAATAAATATATTTAAAACATTGTACTGAAAAATGTTCACATTATTATTTTAATTGCTCATTTTAGTAATTGTTCCTTTAACAGTTTTTTTTTTATTATTTCACATTTGATTGATCTTTTAGTTGTTTTTGATTAATTTTTTGCCTATTCACACATGTTAATTTTATTTTTATTTTTAAACACACTTCCTGTTTTATTTAATGAACTGTATGAAATTAATTGTTCTTTTGTAATTTATTTGTAGCTTTGGCAACATTGTTGTTTTACATTCACACCAATAAAGCTGAATTGTATTGAACTGACAAGCAGCCTGACATGTTGAAAAGCAGGCAGTGCAATTTTGTGATGCTGCATGATGAACCAGCTGAAACAGCTTTCAGTACAAGAAGAGTTTTTTTCCCCTGAAACACTTCAGAAGTCTTTATTTAGAAATCTTTCTTAAAGGAAACACAAACTGAAACACAAACTGCTGAACATTATTGTCTAAAAGGAAAAAACATCCCTGCACGTTGTAGCATTCAGATTCCCCGTCACTGGAACCAAACCAGGAAAAGCTAACAGAACAAAAGTACACTGAAGTGTTTGGACAGCATAAACATGTGAACAGATTCTATTCATCATTCCCAAATGCAACATGAGTGAACAGAAGAAAAATTCTAGACCAAATCCGTATCAGGTGTGACCCCCCTTAGCCTTCAGCATCAGGTCCTCCAGGCACACCTGCACAAAGTGTCTGAAGCAGCTCTGCAGGTCGGTCGGCTCTGAGAACTCCCCACAGGCAGCATCAGCTGTTTCTCTCTCTTCATGTGATCCCAGACAGACTGGATGGTGTTGAGATCAGGGCTGTGGGGGCCACGCAGGGCGCTGTGGGGGCCACGCCATCACTTCCAGGACCCCTTGTTCTTCTTTGAAGATACTTCTTGATGACTTTCGCTGCGTGTTTGGGCTCGTTGTCAAGCTGCGAGATAAATTTGGGGCCAATCAGACGTCTCCCTGATGGAGTATCTGCCCGTCCTTCTCAGCACTGAGGAGATCATTAATTCTAACCAAATCCCTTTGCAGAGATGTTGCCCCAAACCTGCAGGAACTTCAGTGAACAACCTGCTGCAGCCGGATTTTTCTGCACCCCAGTTCCTGTTTTTCCTGCAGAGGTGAGTCGCGTGGCCTCGTTTCCATGTCGGAGGCCTTTTTACCCACAAGTCCTCCATGAAGGCCCCCTCTGTCCAGACCTCTCAGGACAGTAGATGGTGGACCAGGGTACCAGAACAGTTTGCTTCTGTTCACTTACGTTGTTATTTTGTTAATTGATAAATATCTATTAACAAGTCTGAGGTGGTGTCAGCTTTTGAATGAAGACTCATGTACAAGTTTCTCAAATTTGTACTCCGGTGCAGTAAATGTACTCAGTTACTTTCCACCTCTTCTTTTTGCGAGGAGCGAGTGGAAAATGACTCAGCCTCTCTTCAGCACGACCACGCTGCCGGATTTCTGCGAGCGTGTAGGCGAGAGTACAGAGCGTGTTGACAGATGGTCGGCAGGCGGAGAATCAGAGTCCATTCACAGAGCTCAGACATGAATGAAGACCGAGAGAGAGAGCTGCTCAAACACGACGGCAGCCTCTGTTTGTGAAGAGAATCAGCTTCAGTCAGGAGAGACACATTCATACTGATCAATACCAGCAGAGAACAAACAGCTTCTCTTATCAAAACATCGTCCAATTATTAAACGAACAGTGTGGGAGTTTGATTTTCTTCCATTCAGAGAGCCGTTTCTGTTATTTAGCCAGCGTGCATAGTTTTAAATGCAGTGGACAAAATAAAAGAAACACCTGAACCTTCACGAAGGGACTGTTGTATTTGGGCCCGTTCACACCTGCATCGCTCGGGCCAGACTTTTCAGTTTGATTAGAAACAAAATCCCCTGGACCAAACAAAAAATCTGGTCCCACAAAGAGAGGCAGTCCCGGTCCGGATCGTTTCTAAAGTATTTTTTTTT